CCTTAGGAATCCTCTTAGGGACCCTTAGCCGTCTTTGGATCACATTTTGAGAACCACTGTTGTATGGAAACTAAAGGAAGTATAGAAATGTTTTCTCTGTTACCAGATGCCATTTATATGGCAAGCTATTGTTCATAAGTTATTTTAATTTCAGTTGTGACTATAAATTTAGTATAATGTAAAGCCAGATCATGGTAATGGAATTTGAAAGCATTAAAAATAGGTTCAGAGTTGGACATAAGGGTTGAGGCCAGAACATAGAAGTTAGAGTGGAGTTGGAATAACTAGAAAAAGTATTTAAAGTTGGGGTTTGTTAGTCATTCCAGTTGTCAGTTTAAGAATTCTATTCCAATGCTTTTATGCTTTTTTTCCCCCACCAGAGTAATACATAATGTAATTAAAAATAAAGTAGTGGCCCTAGCTGGTTTGGCTCAGTGGATAGTGTCGACCCACGAACTGAAGGGTCCCGGGCTCGATTCTGGTCAAGGGCACATACCTTGGTTGCAGGTTTGATCCCCAGTCCTAGTTGGGGCACCTGTGGGAGGCAATCAATCAATGTGTCTCTCTCACATCAATGTTTCTCTCTTTTTCTGTCTCTCCCCCTCCTTTCCACTCTCTAAAAATCAATTGAAAAATATCCTCGGGTGGGGATTAACCAAAAATAAATAAGTAAAAAATAAAGTAATGTAGGAGGGCTTACAATGAAAACAACATTCCCTTATTTTTTCTTCTCCTTGCCTCCCAATTCTGCCCATTCTGGTTTTATATCTAAACTTTGTATCACTAAATAATATGCTTTTCTAGGACTTAATTTGTTGAATTTATTATACATTATAATTTTATCTTCTGTATATTAGTTTGATTCTAAAACTTTAAAGCAAAAATTTCTACTATTATGACTGTGTAAATAGTACATACTGTAAGCCAAGTACTGTCTTATGATTGTAATTCCTATGTTTCACTTTTACAGCCCTGTACCACTTAATAGAAGCCTCTTCCTAGGCTCCAATTAAAATGAATTTCTTCCTTTTTACACCCTACTAATTGCTCAAAATGTGATGTCTTTTACTGGGATCGAGCAGTTTTATATTTCCTGAAGTGTTTTCTTACTACCCCCCCCCCCCCAATCTTGTTGGTGCCTTGATTATATTTTAAGATATTTCCAGTCTCCCAGTCTACTGCCTACTGTCCAGTCCTCTTTCCTAAACGTCTTGCTCCTTGAGGCTTCTGTCCTTCCTTTGATTCTACTCTAAGCTCATTGCCTCTCTGGGCTGCTACACAGCTGCTAACCTGGGCTTTCATCTCACTCCTGGGTTTAGATCCATGTTTGCAGGATTTTACAGTCTTTTTCTAGATTGGTTTAAAAAAATACACTATTGTGTAGTGCCCTAAAAATACATTATCATGTAGTATAGAGGTGGTAAACTTTTTCAGTCCTTGAATGCCAAGAAAAATATGTATTCTTCCTTAATTTATCTGGGTACAGAATTGTGCATTAATAATAATTTCCCCTTGAATTTTCAAGACATCCTATTGTCTTCTAGCTACTAGCCTCAGTGAGAGACTGATTTACATTTAGGTGTGTGTAGGTGACCTGTTTATCTTCTCTCTGGAGACTTGAAGGATCTTTTTTGTTGTTGTGAGATGTGAAATGCTGTATGTCTCTTGGTGTGGTTCTTTCATTCTGCTTTGCACTGTGTAGGCCCTTTGAATTTGAAAATTTGTGCCTCCCTTTGAGGGAAATTTTATTTCTTTCATTTGCTTTTTTCTTTATTCTCTAGAATTCCTTCTAGTTGAATATTGGACCTCTTAGATTTCTCTCCTTTTATAGTTTTCATATCTTTATCTTGTCTGTATCCCTCGACTTTATCTTCTAACTAGTATAAAAGTCTTGTTTTAAGGATACACATTAGAATTTTTGAAAATTGTTGCCTTGAAATAGTCTATTTCCACAGGGTCATTTTTTTAAAATGTATTTTTATTTATTTCAGAGAGGAAGGGAGAAGGAGAGAGAGATAGAAACATCAATGATGAGAGAGAACCATTGATCAGCTGCCTCCTGCACGCCTCCTACTGGGGATCGAGCCTGCAACCCGGGCATGTGCCCTTGACCGGAATCGAACCCGGGACCCTTTAGTCTGCAGGCCGACATTCTATCCACTGAGCCAAATCAGCGAGGGCAGATTGGTTGGCTATCTATTTTGGTAAGCCCTCTGGCTGGCTTCACTTTTTGGTAAGCAGGTGGATTTAATAATTCCCTAATATTAATAATTCCCTAATATTAATAATCCCCTAAATTCTTTTCCTCTTTCTCTTTCCAAGAGAAACACCCTTCATTTTATGTCTGATTCTTCAGTTATTTCTTAACATTTTTTTAACTGCAAAGAAAATTTTATTTTATATATCACTAGCCATGAATGTTTGTCATTAGTTATTACATAAATGTATCTGATGCCATTATCTAAGTGGCATAATCATTTTATGTCCACAGTTCACTTTGTATTTACAGAATATTCATTATTTACATAAGTATATCAGTGAAGATTTACCATTGAGATGCAATGTAACATCCATATGATCTGTAGATAGTAATGTGGATGTATTTTTAATCACCTTTTGAGTCACCTTATGTAAAAAATAAATCAATAACTTAGAGCATCTAAGCCTCTAAAGGAGATTTTCCAGTGTGCTCTTAGAAATAGTTACACAGTAAGATGATCAGAAACAACTTCCATGTCCACATCCTCTTGTAGTTTCTCTATCATTTTTTCTCCTAGCTGCTTTCCTTTGCATGCAAAAGGGACCCGGATGAAATAAATGTTTTGCTTGAATTCTTTGATGTCCTGATCTTTCTGTAGCTCTTTATTTTTTTTAACTTGTTCATTATAAATTTAGCTTGATGTTGCTGTTTAATCTCTTCAGCTCTTCATTGCATCCGTCGTTTATTCCACAGCGCTCTCTGGTATTTGACAGGTTTGTTTCTACGTTGTTTTTCAAATTCAAATGAATTATCCACTGTAAGCTCTTTACTGGCTGCTTTGTGGGATGCTCTAGTCCACCTGACCTTGGGAGGATTGCACTTCCTTTTAAAGTTGCTATGACATTTGGATTTACAAAACCTGAACACCTTGCAGTTGTGGATGAGCATCCTGCAGCGTCCCGGGGAAATGGGCCCGGAAGAGAACTAGCACTACTCTGATGCATGCTGAGCACACGTAGGGACCCACCACCCAAACCCCAAGTCTTAACCATTTTTACCCACTTTTTTATGTTTGTTTCATCATTTATTATTTTATTTGTTCTGGCTAAAAACTGACTGAGGCTGATTAGATTTAATTTATTCACAAAGGATATAATTATCTAAATAGAAGCTTCCGCTGTACTGGATGGTTAGTAAATGAAAGTCTTCTCATATTTCACAAATGTATTTCCCCCCATTGATTTCATAGAATGGAAAGGAGGGAGGAGGGTGGGTAGAGAGAGAAAAACATCAATGTGAGAGAGACACATCGATTGATTGCCTTCTGCATGTGCCCCGACCGGGCATTGAACCGGCAACCTAAATACGAGCCCTTACTGGGAATCAAACCCGAGATCCTTCAGTGTACAGACCAATATTATAACCAATGAGCCGCGTTGGCCAGGGCTACTGATGTATTTTTATGGCACAAGATTTGGGTTATTTACTTTATATTCTGCTTTATTTAAGAAATAATTTAAAGATTGTAAGTCACACATTTTATGTAGGGATATAATTTAACACCTTTTATTCTATCCAAAGCTAGGCAAAGAAAACACCTTGATTTGAACTATTTCCACTTAGACAAATTTTACTTAAATGAATTTGAACTTGATTTGACCTGGATTTTTAAAAATTAACTTCTTTATTTAGACTTATCAACTGGATACTTAATTGAATTGGTACAGTCCAGTGTGGTCATCCACGTCATGTAAAGGACAGATTTTCTAAGGATATTTGAAACAGAAAGAGAAATTCCCAGATGGGTCTAAGACGACAGACAGCCCAGAGGATCTTTATTCTGAACAGCAAGCAGTCAGCTGCCCTCGCCTTGACTACCCTGGGAACTGGGACTGGATTATTATCGTTCATGATGCTTTTGGTGGAGGATATGGTCAGTCCAGATGATGGGTAGGGACCTGGCTATACAGAGCAGAGTTAGGTTAAGCAGCCTTAGAGATAGATGTATGTGGTAATTGCTAAATGCACTGGCATTTTTTTATATGGTTTCTTGGAAGGCTGACTGTAAAATCTATTGTTGACACTGAGACACATAGGAGAGTGAAAGAGAATACTACTAATAATTATGCTGGGATAGGGGCATAAACCAGAGCATATGGTCATCTCATCCTAAGTCACATGGACTCTTAATTATATGAGACAGTGTAAGTCAAATTGCCTGCCTAGTTGACTTGACATTTCTATTCTATCCCCACCCTGCTTTTTATCCAATAGGACAAACATAGGGGAGAAAGAAATGTGAATAGGTGTTTGATAAAGAGTAGTAGGATGAATAAAAATAGTATAGGAATCCAATATTATCTGAATTTTTACATAATCAAAACCCCTTTTATGTATGCAGTGTAGTCTGGATGTGTAAAATCTTATTAGTGAATGTTAAATACAAGCTTCACTGAACTGGTATATTTATATTTTAATATAATTCTTTTTCATAGTTCTAGGAGTTTTGAAGAAGCTGTTGCTGGCATTTTTTCTTAAGGATGTGGAATTATCCATAGAAAATGTCAATCCCAAACCAGTTTCCCATTATTACAATGGAAACTTCCTTTGCCTGTCTTATAATTGGCATATATGTAGAAAATGTTAGCTAATTTTAACATCAAAATATGGAAAACCTCATCCAAATAGAAATTATAGGCGTTTCTTTGAACTCTGTTCTAAGTTTTTTGTGTTTTTGTTTTTTTTTCTTTTTCATATTGGGCTGAATTCTGCCACCCTTCCATCCATTGGTTCTAGTTCTGTTCTCTGGAGCAGCATGGAGTAAGTCTCGTATATTAGAAGGCAGCTAATCATATCACCTTTTCTAGACTGAATGTCCCCAGGTCCTCCACTTTTTATATGAACTTGTAAGCTTCATAGTGATTCCCTTTTAATAATTGCTAATTATCAGCGATTTCCATAATACCAGTTAAAATATGATGGTCTCAAAATTTAATTCTATGCCATGTTTCTATGATATTGTGAACACCAGTGAAGAATTCTGTTTTATTCTTGACTCATTATAACTATGGTCAGCTAAACACTGTCAGCTAAATAACTGTTGGAACTGTCATTTTTTTAGAAGGCATTTCTGTCTTGGTAATAAAGCTTTAGCACGTAATTGTGAGTGTATTATTCAGAGATCATAGAACAACAAATAAACTTATTAATATGCCAACATCTTTAGGCCTTGGTTTATGTGACATAGGCTCTCAATGTAAAGGTTAAAGTAAAAATTATTTTAAGAATTTTGGCTGCAAATTTTTTGATTTACGATTTTGGAAAATTTTTGCCTCTTTGAGGTTTAACTGGTTATGATTGCAAAACATCTGACTTATATCTTCTTTGGCAACATCTGCTACATTTTAAAGAGAAAAATGTGCATAATGAAATTATGCCTATAATCTGGAAAATTTATCTAAAATAACAGATTCTGCATTGTAGATTTTGTATCCTAGAGCAGTATTTCTCAACCTCAGCACTATTGACACTCTTTGCATAATTCTTTGTTGTGAGTAGCTATCCTGTGCATTGTAGGATGTGTAACAGCATCACTGGCCTCTACCCACTAGATGTCAGTAGCACTCATCACCCACCATCAACTTCTCTGCAGTTTGACCATCAAAAATATGTTCAGACATGGCCAAATGTCCCTGGGGTGGAGGGCAAGAGGGGTTGGCGGCAAAATCTCCCCCAGTTGAGAACCACTGCCCTAGCCTGAGCGGGAGAAGTATTTCTTAAGTCAATTGGGTAATAGTTTTTACCTTAAATGTTTTCTATAATTGGAGTTAGAATACAATATTTTTCTTAACATCTCTTTGTAGAGTTTTTTTAAAAAATCTGTAGAGCATAATAAAGAACTTTAGGTACAACAAATATTTTTTTAAATTTCAAGTTTGATCAACTTCATTTCTTCCTAATACTGCTTCTTATCCCAGTTTGTCATCCCTGCTTTGTGATCTGATCTGTGATCTGAAACATAATGTGTGATTATCTAATGTATTGAGATTAAGGAATGAAAAGTATGTAACAATAAATATGGTATTGATTGGGAGGTTAAGTTGAAATAAAATAGTGGTTTTTTTGTAGTCCATGAGTAAATTCCTTGAAAATGCACTTTTTATTTAATTTGATTAAACTCCTAGATTTTTAATAAATTGTATTATGTTTATTCTTCTTCTCTACAATATAGCCAGCAGCCAGCTTCGGGTGTAGCCTACTCTCATCCAACTACAGTTGCTAGCTACACTGTCCATCAGGCTCCAGTAGCTGCTCACACAGTTACTGCTGCCTATGCACCAGCAGCTGCTACAGTTGCGGTTGCCAGGCCTGCTCCTGTAGCTGTTGCAGCTGCTGCAACAGCTGCTGCTTATGGAGGCTACCCCACTGCACACACAGCAACGGATTATGGTTATACCCAGAGACAACAAGAAGCACCACCCCCACCACCTCCAGCTACTACACAAAACTACCAGGTAAGAAAACTATTAGTTTCAATAGCCTTAACATACAGGCTTCAGTGTCCTCAATGTATGGTATCCTGTCCAAGCCAGTGCTTCTCAAACTTGGATCTTTCAAAATGTACCTGTAATGATAGAAAAAAGTAAATGTGTATTCCTAGATAATTTAGGGGCATATTCTAAGCATTACGTTTCCTTACTGTAAGTTGTTTTTTTTTTCTTTTTTAAAAAAATATATTTTTATTGATTTCAGAGAGGAAGGGAGAGGGAGAGATAGAAACATCAATGAAGAGAGAGAATCATTGATTGGTTGCCTCCTACACGCCTCCTACTGGGGATCTAGCCTACAGCCTTGGCATGTGCCATGACCAGGAATTGAACCATGGCCTCCTGGTTCATACATTGATGCTTATCCATTGAGTCATACTGGCCGGGCTGTGCATTTTATATTAATAATCTCCCCTAGTCTATTCCACTATATCTGCTTGCTTTAATTTTGAAAAATTTACATTGATTAAATATTTTAATTTTACCCCAAGTTTTTAAGAAAAATTAAGATAATAGGGAAAGTGCCCCTTGTTTGTATTGTGGCATTATTTGCCCACTGGAATCACAGCTGTGCCTCCTATTTTGAGGACTACAAGCCCAAGCTATGTATCATTGCGAATATGTTCTCCCATTAGTGGGTTGTCTTTTCATTCTGTGGATGGTTTCCTTTACTGTGCAAATTAACCCATTTTTTGGTTTGTTGGCTTTTAGGATCTGTTTTTTAAACTTTGATCCTTCTGGACTTGGCCTGGTTTTTCTATATTCTTTCTAATTATAGGAATTTGAATTAAGAAATTGACATATGAATTAACAATATTAGTATTTGCTATAATATATGGCAAGTTACTAACATGGAATTCCTTTTGACTTTTGCGATTGTCTTCATTATGTCCAGAGACAGAATATAATAAATTCCATTTTTTTAAATAGGGTGTATGAAGCCCATCTTTTTTTGCACCCTGCCTATTTCTTCAGCCTTTCTATCTGCATGCCTTCTCATCCCTCAGTTTATGCAGCACAGGAATTCACCTAGTTCACCTTGATCTTCATTGCCTTGGAGATTTATATATAACTAGAGGCCTGGCCCACAAAATTTGTGCACTGGTACTGTCCCTAGGCCTGGCCTGCGATCAGGGCCATCTTCCCCAGCTACCTGCAGCTGGCTCCGCCCCCCGCCACCACCCACCCCTGGTTCCCTGTTCGCCATCGGGTGATCGGTGTCAGACGGGTGATCGGTGTCAGACGGCTGGGGAAAGGGACCCGAGAGGTCAGCCTGTTCCCGCCCGCTCGCTGGCCCTGCCCCCGCCACGGGTGGCCATCAGGTGATCGGAGCCTGCTGGCCGGGGAAAGGGGCCAAGAGGTGGTCAGTGCGCCTCATAGTGACTGGTCCAGCGGTCGTTCTGCCCTTAGGGTCAATTTTCATATTACCCTTTTATTATATAGGATGTGCCTTCTCCCTGGCACCTCCGTTCCCCTCTCCTCCATCTGGAAGCTCCTATTCATTACTATGTTAATGTCAGTAGTAAATAAGGGAGAATGAAAAAGTTGGAGCAAACACAAAATTTAGTTCACACAGGCGTTCTTTACTAGGGGATCCATTTTTAAGGAAAAGTTGCTATGAGTTTTTTAATAAAACTAATTTTTAAAAAATAAGCATTGCTAATTTTTCTGATTTTAAAAGTTAAACATGATGCTTGAAATGGTTTTGACCTTATTTAATGAAGTCCAAAATGTATCCCCTTTGTAATTGAATTTGACTCATGTCTAGGTCTAAGTATATATTTGGTTTTTTAATTTCCTTTATTATACTTTTGTATAGTAAAGAGGAGGAGCATTTACTGCCTCTTCCTCATAGCAAGGTTTTCTTTCATTCTTTTTCCTTAGGACTCATACTCGTATGTAAGATCCACGGCTCCTGCTGTAGCTTACGATAGTAAGCAGTACTACCAACAACCAACAGCAACTGCTGCTGCTGTAGCTGCCGCTGCCCAGCCTCAGCCTTCTGTTGCTGAAACCTACTATCAGACAGGTGGGTTTTATTAACTTTCACAGTTTCATTGTACACTATTGAAATATATTACTTAGCGTCTTTTTAATGAAGTTAATCTAAACTGATTGTGTTATATTACACAGTGTAACAGGTTCTAGCCATGTCTTTCTCTTCCTCTGCTAGAATGCCTTTGAGTCCCAAAGAGAAGGCCATGGAAGCAATTCATAATCATGCCCTTCTCTCCTGGTCTTCAGCTTACAGTTCACTTCCTGCTGAAATAAGCTTTACAAAAGAGGTTGTGGTGGTACCTTTTGGCCACCTTCTTGTCTTTGCCAGAAATGCCCAGGACATGCTGCTGACTGCCTTTGTAACCAGTAGAGACTCTTTGTGGGCCCATATCTTTAAATCCTCTTTCCCTGATCTGTAATGGCAGTTGATTCTGTAACCAGCCACGGATAATACAGTGGGCTCAAATGCAGGCGGTGTTTCGTTTGCAAAGAACCCTATATAGTAGGAGTCTTTAAAAGATGGATTTTTTCATAGAGATTTCACAATTTTCTTTTAAAAAAAATTCTTACCCAAAGATAAGTTTTTATTGATTTTTTTAGACAGAGAAACATTGGTCAGCCGCTTCCTGCATGTGCCCGACTAGGGGTCGATCCCATCACCATTTAGGTGTACAGGACAATGCTTCAACCAACCGAGCCACCTGGCCAGGGCGAGATTTAACAACTTTTATTTTTATTTATTTATTTTTTAGAATATATTTTATTGATTTCTTACAAAGAAGAAGGGAGAGGGATAGAGAGTTAGAAACATCGATGAGAGAGAAACATCGATCAGCTGCCTCCTGCACACTCCCTACTGGGGATGTGCCTGCAACCAAGGTACATGCCCTTGACCGGAATCGAACCTGGGACCCTTGAGTCTGCAGGCCGACGCTCTATCCATTGAGCTAAACCGGTTAGGGCAGAGATTTGACAACTTTTAAAACAAAGCTCTCTGGGCTTTGGAAAGTAGGCAGCTCCTTTACTTTCATTATTTTTGAAGGAGCATGAGAGTGTGGGTGGAGTCTTGGATAGGAAAGAGTAGAATTGGCTTACCACTATATGTTCTCTTATTTGTAAATGAGGTAGTGGACCTGTATCTCTCTAGGGTACTTCTAATTCTAAGATGTTAGGTATTTTTAAAAGTGGTTTAAAAAGATTTTGAATTAAAATGACCCTGAATTTTCTTATAGTCTCATCTCTGATTTGCAGGTACAGCAGTCTATTGTGAATTTCCTGGTTAATTATCAAAATTAGATTGTGCTTAAAAGTATTGAGTTGCCTGAGAGTCAAAAGACCTTGATTTAGTGTAAGTGCTGACATTAACTACACAGTTTTAGTTTTCTAAACTCTTGCCCTGGACGGTATGGCTCAATTGATTGGAGCGTCATCCTGACACCAAAGATGGTGGATTTGATTCCTGATCAGGGCACATACCCAGGTTACAGGTTCCATCTCTAGTCGGGGTGCATGTGGGAGGCAGCCAATCGATGCTCGCGTGCTCTTTCTCTTGCTCTTTCTCTGTCTCTCTTTCTTTCCCCCTTCCTCTCTCTAGATAATTTTATGCTCTTAGGTGCTATTTACTTAAGCTACCTTTTGGTAATTGAGCATAAAATGAGTTTGCCCCGGTGGTATTTGGGCTTTCTTAGAAATGACATTTGTATGCTTTGGTGATCATTAATTAGTGACTAATTATTAAATTATTGATTAGTACTAAAGCTCATAAGATTTGTTTTGAATATGGTCAAAGGCAGCAGAAAGTTTAGCAGAGACATTAGTGGTAGCCATTTAAGAGTAGCTGCACTCAAGCTATTGCATTGGAAGAATGGTTAGCACCTTGTGAGTTGGAATTATGGAAAAGTCAATGAAGTGTGATGGCTGATATATAAACAAGTCCCATATAATTAAACATTGAAATTTTTACTGTGAATTGAAATATGTACTTTGAGGTCCTCTCTCTTCTGTTCCCAGTATTAAGCCTAACTTTCAAGTAGGCTAGCCTAAAAACACACACGTTTTTCAAAAACTTTATTTATTAATACCTGTTTTAAGTAGTACTGCTATTTCAGTTAGTTGTAAATTTTTACAAAATATTATTTTGGAAATATATGGAAAGCATCTGGGATGGGATAGTAATTTATATAGATGTTATATTTTGTTCAATTGGTAATAAGAATTTCACCCCTTTTGCCAAGAAGAAATTACTGGCATCTAATTTACAGTTAACATTTAACCTACTTTCTCTAGTTTTCCAAGATGTTGGTATAGTAACTACAGGCATACCTTGGAGATACTGTGGGTTTGGCTCCAGACCACCACAGTAAGTTGAATATTATAAGTGGTTTACCCTTCTAATTTTCTGATATCTCTTTTTTAATTTAGCCCCCAAAGCAGGTTATAGCCAAGGTGCAACTCAGTATACACAAGCCCAGCAAACTCGACAAGTGACAGCCATAAAACCAGCGACACCGAGTCCAGCTACCACTACTTTCTCCATTTATCCTGTATCTTCCACCGTACAGCCAGTAGCAGCTGCAGCTACTGTGGTGCCATCCTACACCCAGAGTGCTACTTACAGTACCACGGCAGTCACTTATTCTGGTAAGCTGATAAAAAGTGTTTAAATAAATCAAGAAACTAGAAAGACTTTCTAAGTTGTATGGTTTGCTTGTGTGTTTGTTTTTTTTAAAGCCAGGAAGATTTTAGCAGGACATTAATGCTCTTTGGACATTTGAAAGCTAGTCATGAGTCCTGGGCCTAGCATTGCAATTAGAAAAAATAACAGTATTCTACTAGTAGTATTCTATTCTCTTTCTGACTTTTCCAAATGAGTTTGAAAAGTTAAAGGAATATTGCTGACAAGTTATATTCTTTATTTCAGCCCCCAAGGAGCTAGTATTTCATATTTATTATCAGGAAGAAGTAATCTTGACAATACTGGTTAACACTTGTAAACATTCATAAGATAATGGTTATATAACACACCTCAGAAGGACAGAGTAGTTTCATTTTCCTTAAATAATCATATATTTTTCTTAGAGAACTATAATTACTGAAACCTTGCTATGTCTAGTGCTCTTGCTAATTTCTGGCTGAGGTAACCTCAGTATTTCAGTAATTAAAGTCACACATTACTTTTTTGTAGACACTTAATCTTCTGGTACTACTGTATGGTTTATTGTTTTGCATTTTATTTATTCCTTAATACCCTATTTTGTTCTGTAGAGGATTTAAGGTGACATTGGTAATTTCAGTTCTTACCTCTTGATACTTTGTGTTAGAATCCTAGCTACTGAATTAACTATTTAATTTCTTAAGAGATTTTTTTGGTCTCTTACTCTATGCCAAATGCTATGTTGGTAGGGATACAGTGGGAATTAGGCAGGCGTAGAGTATTGCGGAATGAGAGTTCATTGTGCCTGGAACACAAGATATATGGGATAATACCAGGAGAAGAGGCTGGAAATGTCAGTGTGAAAAAGCCTTGTAGGCTCTGCTATAGTGTCTTTTTGTTGTTGTTAATCCTCACCCGAGGATATTTTTTCCATTGCTTTTCAGAGAGTGAAAGAGAGGGAGGGAGGGGGAGAGAGAGAAAAAAATACATCGTCATGAGAGAGACAAATCGATTGGTTGCCTCCTGCACACGCCTCCACCGGGGCCCAGGAACAAACCTGCAGCTGAGGTACATGCCCTTGACTGAAATTGAAGCCTGAGCCTTTGGTGCATAGGCCAACACTCTACCACTGAGCACACTGGCTAGGGCTGTGGAGTCTGTCTTTATCTTGTGGGTAGAAAGGGTGCCAAGAGGAGATCTTATGAAAGGAGCAATGGGAGCAGAGTTTAAGTTCACTATGACAGTCCTGTGGAAGTGAGCTGGAGTGAGGAGATGTGATTACTCCCAGATCTGTCATTTAGGACTTCCCAGATAGAGCTTTCCTGCCTCTCTGTATCTGATTAACCAGTTAGAACTGTACTGGAGTTATTCCAATGAAATAGGAGTGGAGAGTTGCTTTTTAAAGGTTCACATTTTCTTCAGAATACGGAGTATGATGGTATCCTTTTCTTTATATTACACTAGTAGCCCTGTGCACGAATCCGTGCATCAGTAGCTCGCTGCCGCTCTCCAGTAGCTCTCTGCCCACTGCCCCACCCTCCTGTAGCTCCCCCCCCCCCCCCGCCACCCCCCTATAGCTTGCTGCCCTGCCCCCTCCTGTAGCTCTCCATCGCCCGCTTGTAGCTCGCTGCCCCACCCTCCTGCTGATCCGTGATCCTGTCATTACGGCCGGTCGTTACGCTTCACAGCATATTACATCTTTATTATATAGGATTAGTAATACATCATTATTTTAAAACTAGAAACTATAGATAAAAAGACAAAATTAAATCACTGGACACCTACTCCTAGACACTAACTGTCATTAACATTTTACTGCGTATACTTTTCTTCCATGGGAATATACATACCTAAACCTCATGATTTCTTTATAAAAAAGAATTTGTCTTATACATACTATTGTGTAAACTACTTTCTTATTGTGAATGTCTTTTCATGTCACTAAATATGAAGATATAGCTATCATTCCTTTGGTTAATGTTATTCACTAGCTTTTTATTTTAGAAAAGTTTCTTTCTGCAGAAAAGTTGAAATAATAGTTCAGATGTTCGTATACCATTTACCTAGATTCACCGATTTATTAATATTTTGTCATAATTACTTTATCTCTCCTCTAAAATACATATTTTCAAATGGTTCAGAAATACACTGGTATAAAAGTTGCAGATGGAAGATGACATGGTGTTTTGCCCAGATTTTTCAGCATGTATTTCCTAAGACTAAGGGCTTTCTTTTAAATAGCCACATTGCACGTGTCAGAAAAAGGATTTGAACATGGATTATCTAATAAATTTCTCTAGTTTCTCACAAATGTATCTTATGGCTGGGCTTTCTGTGTGCTTGTGCTTTGTTTTAAATTCAGGGTCCAATCAAGGATCATGCATTGTGTTTGGTTGTCATGTGTTGTTAGAGGGTGTTTTATTTTAATGTAGAATAATCCCCTATTTTTATCTTCTCTCTCATGACCTTGACATTTCTTAAAGCAGCGGTCACCAACCGGTGGTCGGCGGACCACTGGTCCGTGAGGTCCAAAAGGTTGGTAACCCATGTCTTAAAAGCAGTGATTCCCAAAGTGGGCGCTACCGCCCCCTGGTAGGTGCTGCAGCGATCCAGGGGGGCGGTGATGGCCACAGGTGCATTTGGGGGCGATGAGTAACTGCTATTAAAATTAAAAAAAAATTAATTTCCAGGGGCTGAGTAATTTTTCTGGAAAGGGGGCGGTAGGCCAAATAAGTTTGGGAACCACTGTCTTAAAGAGTTAGGCCAGTTGTAGAATCTGGATTTATCTGATTTCTTTATGCTTAGTTTCTGGCAGCTTTTTAGCCAATAAAACAAAACAAACTTCCCATTTCATCATATCAGGAGCACATAGTAAATAATGTCCATTTATGCTTTATTGATGATACCAAGTATAAATCACTGGTTCAAGTGGTGTGTGGCGAGCCGGCACGGCCATGGCATACTCAGCCCCACATTGGGCGCCTTATGTACCGCGCCAGCTCAGCCAGGTTCAGTGACCCTGAGAGGGGGCGGTGAAGGATGGAGAAAAGACAGACAAGAGAAGAAAGCTGGTTCTGGGTGGGACGCTGTCCTCTCTGATGGAGAGCTAGCGACAGGGCCACAGACTACAAGCCGAGTCTTTATTTTATAGCAGATTCCACGAGGCAAAGTAAGGGCGTGGTCAAGATGTTTACAGCATTCTCGTGGGTTTCGATCCTACTCAATTACATGCACCTGAACTCTATCAAGCCCACATCACTCAGAAACATGTGATCACGGGTTCGGACCATAGGTTCAAGCTTACAACGATAGCTGTTGGCTATAATTGTGCTGGGAGGGCTCTGCCCTCCAAGCTGGGACTTGCACATGGCCATGGGAGGACTGTGCCCTCTCATTAGCCCGAGGCTTGAACCTGTCCAAACACTGTGGCCGCTCTCCACAGTAGTGACTGCCAAATCTCTCCTTTGTAAAAATACCCCTTTCCTTTTGTAATTAACCAAGTAATCTGTGGGCCTGTTACCTTTCATCTACCTTTCACTCTTACAGTGAAATAGTAACCAGTTCTGTAGCCACATAGGTTACCAAATGTTCTGTCACATTCCTCCAACTGAACTACAAGCTTCTTTAAGACAAGGACCAAATCTTATACCTTACACATTCTTTCTATTCCCCAACACCCGGTAGGTGTTGAGTAAATACTTGTTGATTGACTTATATATAAAAGGAGGATAAATGTTTTCTAGGTTTGTTTTTCAAGAAGGATACATTATTTGTAAATATGCATGTGTAAACCTACCGTTATTAACAGAATTTATGGGATTTAAATTTGTAACATTCAGCTTGGCCTTGTATAATTATGTAACAAAATCTTTGTTTTACTTTGTTTGTAAGGTACATCTTATTCAGGTTATGAAGCAGCAGTGTATTCAGCTGCATCCTCCTACTACCAACAGCAGCAGCAGCAACAGAAGCAGGCAGCGGCAGCAGCTGCTGCTGCTGCTGCCACAGCTGCCTGGACAGGGACCACCTTTACTAAAAAAGCACCATTCCAAAATAAGCAACTGAAACCAAAACAGCCTCCCAAACCACCCCAGATTCACTATTGCGATGTTTGTAAGATCAGCTGTGCTGGACCACAGGTACTTATGTTGTATGTTTTACCACAAGTCTTCAGTGGTTATTTTTTAACAGTTAAATATGGTTGATATTATAACTCGTGTTTACAAAGAAGGTTTCCAGTTTCTTCTCTGAGTTTAGCTAATACACATAGTTCATTAAATGGCCATTTTTGAAAAGGTATTTGTATTAAGACATAAGAATTCTATTAAGAAAAAACCGTAGGGCGGGTGGGTACCAGGTGGAGGGGGTTAATGGGGAAAAAAGTAGGACGTATGTAATACTTTCAACAATAAAGATAATTTTTTTTAAAACCTGTAAAAATGATTATGAATGTAAATGTAAAATGGGCATATTGAGCTTTTTTTATTTAAGAAGAATACTTTGCTCTTTAAGTAAACCTTAAATTTAGCTTAAAAGTTTTATATTTGACTTAATTGGGTTTTGGGGGAAAGATTGAATTTTTATTTCTTTTTTAGCATTTATAACTTGCTTTTAAAAGACTTTATACAAAATTTTTGATTTTCCTATCTCTTCTTCAAGGTCTGTATATGAGTGTATATATAGAATTTTACAGCTGAAAAAGGATGATCATAAAGATAATTGTTTACACACTTACATTAAAGATGAAAGAACTTTGTCAAATGTATTAGTTTTTGGAGCCTATAACTAGCAGGAAAAATTGTGTTTCTGGAATTAAAAAAAAATTCTTTTAATAATCTACAATTCTTGGGATGCTTCTAATAAGACTGACTTTTATATTTGCTTTATAAGGTATTGCTTATTTCTATATAATCTTCTCCATGAGGGTAGGAATTCAGGAAACAAGAAAGGTGTAGGGAAGTGAATTTTTCAAAAATACTGACTAATGTAGCATGCAGAACCTTTATTCCCTCCTCCCCCCCATTTTTTGGTCTTTTATTCTGGTTGCTACACCTTAAAATATGTGATTTAGGCATGAGTCTAATTAGTACAACTCCCCAACTTTATTTGTTAACTAGTAGCCTTGCGCACAAATCCATGCGCCAGTAGCTCTCTGTGGGGCCTGGCCGCTCCGTGCCTGCTGCCCAGAGGCTCTCTGCGGCCCAGAGGCCCATCCGCGGCTGGGTGTGGAACGCTTGCCTTGTTGCCGTGGCGACGAAGCAAGCATTCCACCAGGCCACTCACGCTGCCCGCTCTCAGCGGCTGCCCCCCCTGGGACTGGGGGACTCTGGCGGGGCTGAGAGGACTGGGCACCGCCATCTTGTGGCTATGGGCGCCACCATCTTTGTGATGGAGTGATGGTTAATTTGCATATTATCCTTTTATTAGATAGGATACTTTCCTTAAGAGTGTCTAGTTTTTTGTTTGTTATGTTTTTTTCAGAGAGGAAGGAGGGGAGAGAGAGAGAGAGAGCGAGCGAGAAATGATGAGAGAGAATCATTGGCTGCCTCCTGCCCCCCCCTCCCCCCACTGGGGATCGAGCCCACAACCCAGGCATGTGCCCTTGAATGGAATCGAATCTGGGACCCTTCGGTCCACAGGCCGACACTCTATCCACTGAGCCAAACCAGCCAGGGCAGAGTGTCTAGTTTTTATTTAAAAATTTGAAAAGCCATTTGGCAGGTAATAAGTATATTATTTGATTGAGACCAGATTTTGACTCTAATTATTTCTTCTGTCTCTCACCGCTGCCCCATCTGTATACGTTACTTTTTAAGTTACCAGCATTCCTTGAATTACTGACATCAAATTAGGGAATATTTTAATGTGTGGCTAGTTACATAAAACCTTTTTCACTCTATTTTGAGTGCGATAGGAAATGGTCTCATTGTGATTGCATGGTTGGAGGAGAAGGGATAGATAAAGAATATTTACAGTGACCAGGATTAAACATGAAAGGGAGCAAGGATGTTGGTCTTAGTATTCGAGGAGTGTATCCTACTCTATGATGGTGTTGTAGAGAGGATGATGCTATGAGTGACAAATGTAAACCTAAGAGATTTACTGAATCTGTGGCACCCATATGAAAGGATAGAACATGACTCTAGGGTGGTGGGTTAACAACAATATTTGGAATGAGTATACATATGGCTGACCATTGATTTGGAGTATCTGAATGGTTACACAAGAACAGGCCAAGGGTACTTGTACAAGTCAGATGCAGTGCCTTAAGGGGTTAATGAAATGAGCCTTAGAGAAAAATATTGAGATTATGAGAGTGTAGGTGTGAACATAAGGAGGGAGAGTCATTGGTTCAGGATTAAGGGTCCATGGTTTCAGTCCTGGCTCTGTCACTTACTGTGGCCTTGGGCAAGTCAGAGCCCTTAACTTCTTTGGGCTTTTATGTCTTTACTTCTATAATAGGAACTTGTCTTAAATAATTGAGGCTTTACTTGCTTCACAGAACCCTTCAGGCTGCCACAGACTAGAGAAGAATCAAATGGCTGAGTCTTAGATCTCTCCTTCATTTCAAAAACAGCAATTTTCCTTACTTGTGCATACTATTATTTATAGAAAGGATTCTCTTGTTTGAAAATTAGAAAGTCATTATTTTGGGTAATCTCTAAAGTTCCATCCAGCTTGGAAATTCTATGATAAATATATAATTTTATGGTAATTTTTGTCTGTCTTAAAAACAATTCTAAAAATAAAATATGTAAGAGTAACTATTGGGCCCCACTCAAGAACAAACAAACTAACCAGCAATCCATATTTACTTCCTCTCATTTTAATAAATCTGCATTCTTAATTGTCTGCATTCAAGACAGTTTTTAATGTATAATTTTACTATAATGACCACTGTCTAGTATTCTTTATTCAACATTATACATAACCAATAAAAGACACATCCTTTTTTTGTTTGTTCTTTAACTTTTTATTTATTGATTGATTTTTGAGAGAGAGGTGGATTTGTTGTCCCACCCATCCATGCACTCATTGGGTGATTCCTGCATGTGCTCTCACTGGGATCCAACCCGAAACCTTGGTGCCTGGAGATGATGCTCTAACCAACTGAGCTACCCAGCCAGAGCAAGATACAAATTCTTTTTTTTTTTTTTTTTTTTTAAATATATTTTATTGATTTTTTACAGAGAGGAAGGGAGAGAGATAGAGAGTTAGAAACATCGATGAGAGAGAAACATCGATCAGCTGCCTCCTGCACATCTCCCACTGGGGATGTGCCCGCAACCAAGGTACATGCCCTTGACCGGAATCGAACCTGGGACCCTTCAGTCCGCAGGCCGACGCTCTATCCACTGAGCCATACCGGTTTCGGCGATACAAATTCTTTTATTTATTTATTTATTTTTAATATATTTGATTGATTTTTACAGAGAGGAAGGGAGAGGGATAGAGAGTTAGAAACATCGATGAGAGAGAAACACCGATCAGCTGCCTCCTGCACACCCCCTACTGGGGATGTGCCCACAACCAAGGTCCATGCCCTTGACCGGAATTGAACCTGGGACCTTTCAGTCCGCAGGCGGACGCTCTGTCCACTGAGCCAAACCAGTTAGGGCAAGATACAAATTCTTGAAACTGAAAGCAGTGACCTTCTATTGGTATTATGGCTCTGTGTGAAAGTCCTTTGTGAATCAAAGTGTTAGACAAATGTATTCTTGATGAATAAGGTACAGAGAACCACAGCTGTATCACGTGTGTAGGGAGTCCCACATGCTTTTCTTAAATTGCTTTTAAAATTGTTTGGTGCTCATTTTTTAAATAAGTATTAGAGATTTGAGAATTGAATAATTTAAATGACTTTGTATCTAGAAAATTAATAAAACAAAATGTATCCTTTTTGTTTGAAACAGACTTACAAAGAACATTTAGAAGGACAGAAACATAAAAAAAAAGAAGCTGCATTGAAAGCCTCACAAAATACCAGCAGCAGCAGCAACTCTGCTCGTGGGACTCAGAATCAGCTGCGCTGCGAGCTCTGCGATGTGTCTTGTACAGGAGCAGATGCATATGCTGCCCACATTCGTGGTGCTAAGCATCAGAAAGTAGGTGTTTTTCCCACACAGCCTTCTGTCTTCCTCTGTTGTTGTTTTTTACCTTTTCAGTAGGGAGCTGGGGGGAGCGGTGTAAGCAAAAGTGGCTCCAGAACTTTGTGGGATAAGCCTTGTTTATGTGCTAACATATATATAAAAGAAGACTAGAAACCTGTCTTTAGATTGAACTAGATCATTTATTCTATCAATTGGAAAATTGTATGTTTATTTTCCTCCTTTTGTCATGCTTAAGCGTAGGTTGGTATGCATGTGGCCAAGTCATTTCATCTCTCTCTGCCTTAGTTTTCTCACTGATAATAGGTGGAATATGTTTCCTTATCTGCTTCATAGAGGTTATTTGGAAAATAATGAGTTTGTGTATGAAAATATATAGCAAAAAATATCATTTGTATTTTAATTTTATAATTTCTTTTAGACGAACTTGAAAATCTATATTCTGAGTTTCCAACAAATAAATGTGCTTTTATTTATTTTTTTGTAGGTGGTTAAATTACACACAAAACTTGGTAAACCCATTCCTTCAACAGAACCAAATGTTGTTAGCCAAGCTACTTCTTCAACAGCTGTGTCTGTTACAAAACCGACTGCCTCTCCTTCAAGCATTGCAGCAAGCAATTGTACTGTGAATACTTCATCAATTGCAACTTCTTCAGTGAAAGGTCTTACAGCTACAGGAAACTCGTCTCTTAATAGCACATCCAACACTAAAGTGTCAGCAGTGCCTACAAGTATGGCTGCCAAGAAGACATCTACACCCAAAATAAACTTTGTTGGCAAGTACTGAAGATTCTTTATGTTCTTCCCAACTCCATCAAAGTAACATTTCTCTTCCGGTCCAGGACTAACCCTTCTGCTTATGGTCTTGTACCCACCTCCTCCCTTTTTCTCTGGGACCTTGTTTAATCACATATCTCTATTTTTTTCTTGAATTTTTAGTCAGTCCTCTGATGGTTTCTTCTCTCTTCCCTTCAGCCATGCAGGTATACCTTTATCTTTCATGGTCTTAAATTTTAAAAAAGATCTTTTCCCATTCCGGTTATCCTTTCAAGCTGCTAAACTAATTCTATCTTCTATACTTCTTATCCAGTCTCCAGTCAGTTAGTGTTTCCACTCTACCCTTTTCTGAAACTGCTTTCAAGAATCACCAAAAACCTAATTGCAAAATTCAGTGGCCAGTTTTCAGTTTCATCCTGTAGACCTCTCTAACTTTTGACTTAGTTGACTGCTATACCGTAAACCTTAAGATATGTCTCTGTCTCTCTAGTTATTGTCTGTCTACCCACCCCTTTCTCAGGTATCTTTATTGTTTCTCCTGCCTTCATGTTCACTGGATGGTGGTGTTCCTAAGATTCTGATTATGTTCTCATCTTACTCTTCTCATCCAGTATTCATGAGTGGTCTCATCCATTCCAATGTGTACAGTAACTTTAAAATCTTTTGGGCAAACTCAAAACCCCCATCTGAGTCTAGAGCCATATTTTAGGTATCCCTGGTCATGATCTGAACAGCTTTATCGATGCCTACCAGTGTCTCCTTACCCATTGTCTTATTACAAGAGTACACGAAATGATCTCATAAAATTGCTGGGAAAACTTCACTGACATTTTTTCCTATTTATTGCCTCCTCTAATTGTTTACCTGTCCTTTTGTTTCTATCACTACAATATTTCTACCCCCCAAGAAAATGTCATCTTCATAGCCACTGCCTTGTTTTTAGGCCTTCAAAGTCTGTTCCTCAGCCGGCCAGTGTGGCTCAGCGGTTGAGTGTCGACCCAGGAACCAAGAGGTCACGGGTTAGATTCCTGGTCAGAGCACTTGTCCAAGTTGCAGGCTTGTTCCCCAGTGGGGGGGGTGGGGGGGCATGTAGGAGGCAGCCCATTGATGATGTTTCTCTCTCATTGATGTTTCTGTCTCTCGCCCTCTTCCTTCTCTCTCTAAAAATCAATAAAAACATATAACAGATCCCTCTCCTTTAAAAAAAAAAGTCTGCTCCTCAGAGCTTTGTCTCTTATTGCATCCAGTCTCTCCAACACTTGTCGAAGTCATTTTGTGAAAATACATATCAAATTATATTAGACTCCTGATTAGAAGCTTTCAGTGTCATTCCTCTTGGTATGGGAAAAAAACCTCTATGTTCCTTAATTATGTCATCAAGGCCTTTCCCATTCGGGCCCCTGCCTCATCATCGGCCATCATCTCTACATAGGTAGTAATTCATAGTGAATACTGAAGCTTCCTTAAATTTACTGCAGTCTTTTTAACTTGATGTTGTTGTGCTTTTTTGTACATCCTATTCTTTTTGTTTAGACATTATTCTCTTCTTTCTGCCTGGCCAGTTCATACTCGTTACTCTTCTTTCAAAGCCCAGCTCAAGTGTCACACACTTGGTGAAGCCTTTTCTAACTGGATCAGGTTAAAGGGTAGTGGTTTCTTTGCTTTGCATTCTACAGTACTCTATTCATACTTAGTACAGCCCTTATCACATTGTATTATAATTAGTTGTTTCTTCCCTTAATTGTTGGCACCTCAGAAGCAGCTACATTGTTTTATTCTTATTATATTACCAGAATGTAGGACAGTGCCCAGTTCCATTGGCAAAGAACTAGGGATACCAGTATGAATAAGGCTTTTCAGGCACTTGCTGTTTACTTTTAGGTACTTGATGTTACGAGAACCATAGTGGGGACAGAGAGGAGTGTTGAGTGTGGGTGGTGAAGAAGGGGAAAATCCAGATGTGTGTTTCAATAGGGTAAAGAAGCCAAGTGGTTTATGTGGTTCTTCAAATTTCTGATCCATTGTGTGACAAGCAGGAGTTTAACTTTTGGTAGAAAAGATAATTTTGTCTGAAGTTTTTGTTGTATCAGGTTACACATTTACACAAAAACGAAAGTTAAAATTACTGTAATTCTCTTATGCGTTTCTAGGTGGTAATAAGCTGCAATCAACAGGAAATAAAACAGAAGACTTAAAAGGAACAGAATCTGTTAAAGGCACTCCTGTTCCTTCTGTACAGATCCCAGAAGTGAAGCCAGACACAGTGTCAGAACCAGTCACGCCTGCCTCTCTGGCTGCTCTGCAGAGTGATGTGCAGCCAGTGGGCCATGACTACGTGGAGGAGGTACTGATTCAAGAACACTATTGCTGTGAGATGAGGAAAGGGGAAGAGGGTGTCGCTTTGTTGTAGGCGTGTTTTTCATGTAAAATTAAATTATAGTCCATTAGGTTTAAGTTACTTGTGAAGGAATATCAAAGGGGTCTTTTTAAGGGTTTTAAAAAGCATGTCCTTTAAGCTTGTCTAAGTAACATTACAATATTTTTGTTATTTCTTTCCCTGCTAAAACAGTAAAGTAACTCTCTATTTATTTGGTAGACATTCTTATATCTTTCAACTGCCCTGAACATAAAAATTTTAAAAATTGCGAGCACCAAAAATTTTGACAAAGCCAATACTTTTTTTTCTAACAATCACTTAGTTTCATGTGTAAAATTAAGGTTGTTCATTTCTTTTTTATTTATTTATTTATTTTAATATGTTTTTATTCATTCAGAGAGAGGAAGGGAGAGAGAGAGAGAAACATCAAAGATGAGAGAGAATCATTGATCAGTTGCTTCCTGCACATCCCCTACTGGGGTTAGAGCCCAAAACCTGTGCATGTGCCCTGACAAGGAAATGATCCAGTGATCTCTTGGTGCATGGGTCGATGTTCAGTCCACTGAGCCACACTGGCTGGGCAGGGTTGTTAATTTAAAAGATCCTGTTTATTTGGTTTTTCAAGCTGATTAGAAAATTATTCCTGTTCTATCGAAAAGTAAGCTCAGTAAGTAGAGGAGTGAGGGAACATCAGAGAGTCTTGATATAAATATTTGCCGTTAGTAGAAAGACTAACATGGAGTGATGTAGCACTAGTCTTTACTCTTTATTGTAGAACATATATAAGTTCTCTGAAATTCAGTGTCTACATCTATAAAATTTGGCTATTCCCTAACAAAGTTGTGAAGATTGAATGAAATAAAGTGCCTAGCATATTGTAGATTTTTGGTAAATATTTGTTCCTTTATCCTTTTTCTCTCAAGTTATGTTGAGTTCTTTGTTTACAAGGTAGAAAAATAGGTTATGCAGTTTATCAGTAGTTCACATACAATTTATTTTAAAAGAGTAAGATTTGAAAAAATGTATGCCTCCAGAATGCCATAATTTCCAATGATAATAAAGTAATTCCAAACTTCAGATAGATGCATTCAAAGCCGGTCTTTAAAGCTTGCCCTGACAATTTGAACATAGTATTCATCATAAACTTCTTAATAAGATTTAGTCTACTTGTCTTCCTAACTGGTTGTACGGTTAGAAAAAATTGTCATTGATTTTCCACGAAGTTACATTGAGCTTTATCTTTAATCATCTTTATCTTCATTTTCAATAACAGTACCTGGTATTCAGTAACTATTTATTAGAGAATTTAAGGTATCTAATTGTTTTTAAATGTTTACATACAGATAAAAGTATTAAAATTGCAGTTAATTACAAAAGCAAATACATGCTAACATCTTGTATGCTAACACTACAGTTAGAAAATTCTAACAGTTTGTTTTTATAGATCATCCTTTTAAAAAATTTTAGACATTGCCTATGTTTTTTCCTCTTAATTCTTCACAATTTTTTTTTATCAGAGAATCTGGGAGGCCATATGAATGAAATCTTCAACTGTAACATTTCCATTATAACTCTTGGATTTTTTCCCCCCTGCATCAAGGTACGAAACGATGAGGGAAAAGTAATTCGATTCCATTGTAAATTATGCGAGTGCAGCTTTAATGATCCCAATGCTAAGGAAATGCACTTAAAAGGGCGAAGACACAGACTTCAATATAAAGTGAGTAAAAATTTCAACTTTTTCTCTTTTTTTTTTAAAACAGCTTGGAACATTCTAAATGTAAAATAAAGATTCTAAACATAACTCACTGAGTCCATGAATTCCCACTCCAAGATTAGCACATTATGTCTCACTTAGATTCAGATGTTTGATTTTTACTGATCAGTTTGTTAAACTTAGGAAAGAAGATTATAACCATATTTCATCATTCTCAGTGACTGTAGCTAAATTATAACATTGCTTGGATCAAGTAATCATGTAAAGATAATTTTTTCACATAATAAAGTGTTTTGAAAGAAGTGTCAGGTCTCCATTTACCTACTTTATCTTGGTAGAATTCCCACTAAAATGAATTTTGAGATGAGGAATTCTTCATTGAAAACACTTCAAGCATTAAGTTAAATATAAATATTATATGTAAAGTTTTTACTTAGGCTGGACTAATCTAATGCATTAGATTCATGTTTTCTCCTTTAAACACAGTGGTGGTGAAAATTAAATTGTTAAAGGGCAATACTTTTTTATGAAAAGAAACTTTTTAATTCCACACTTAGGCATTTAGAATCATCTATTTACAAAAAAATAAAGGAAAGTTAAATATTCATTCGTCCCCTAAGGATCTCTTCTATTGGTCAGCACTAAGGCATGTACTTTTTACATACTAAGTATATAATTTTAAACTTGGAATAATTAAGAATTTTAGGGGTGGGAAGAAAACGAATATTAATGTATTCTGAATCTTTCCTCTGATTCAACTTATATGCTGAATTTACTCTTATATAATAGGAAATTTGTAACTAAAAAATCTCTATGATGAAAGAATATGTGGGATTGTATGTGTAGATTGTTGGAAGGGGGTGCTAGTTTTTGAAATGTCTTGTCTATATTAACAGAAAAAAGTCAATCCAGATTTGCAAGTAGAAGTAAAGCCCAGTATTCGAGCAAGAAAGATTCAAGAAGAGAAAATGAGGAAGCAAATGCAGAAAGAGGAGTATTGGCGGAGACGAGAAGAAGAAGAGCGCTGGAGAATGGAAATGAGGTAATTTCTTTAGCTTTTAGTAGCATAAGTGATTCAGCCTTCTTAAAAAAAAATGGCTATTCTAAGTATGTGACTCCCATTCAAAGCAGTCCAGATTTATTTCATGTACTTTTAATTTTCACTTTTCAGGAAGATCCTAGGGCAGGGGTCCTCAAACTACGGCCCGCGGGCCACATGCAAACACAAATATTGTATTTGTTCCCGGTTTGTTTTTTTACTTCAAAATAAGATATGTGCAGTGTGCATAGGAATTTGTTCATAGTTTTTTTTTAAACTATAGTCCGGCCCTCCAACGGTCTGAGGGACAGTGAACTGGACCCCTGTGTAAAAAGTTTGAGGACCCCTGTCCTAGGGGCAGAAAAGAAATGCATTAGAGTAAGTTATTGGCTATTCTAATATTTGACTATTGCCTTGGTATTAGGAATTATGTGGTTAAGTGTATCTTACATGTATTAAATATGTGAAGAAATAGTTTAATGTTATAAATAAATGCCTCAGTTTAAAACAAGCAAAACATTTGGCTACATGCTAAAAATATTGAATATAAGATTTGGTAGAGCCTAGACATCTTAGTGTTTTTTGTTTTTTCCACAGGTAACTTATACATTTATATTATACCGAAAAAGTTATGTGCAACAAATAAACATTCTTACATATTTACATTTGTTTTTGTTTTTTTACCAGTTCACAAAACCGTGTCCTAAATTTATGATAAAGAATATTCCTATCTAATATTAAAGGGAAAATCTGCCCAGTGAACTCCATTTTATTTTATTTATTTTAATATATTGATTTTTTACAAAGAGGAAGAGAGAGGGATAGAAAGTTAGAAACATCGATGAGAGAGAAACATTGATCAGCTGCCTCCTGCACATTCCCTACTGGGGATGTGCCTGCAACCAAGGTACAGGCCCCTGACCGGAATCGAACTTGGGACCTTTTAGTCCCCCCGCAGGCCGATGCTCTATCCACTGAGCCAAACTGGTTAGAGCCAGTGAACTCCATTTTAAATGAATGTTTACTCTGGAGTTTAAAGCATTAGTAATAAATATTTTTGATGGGACATACTATACAGATCATATACCTCATACTTCAGCCATGCTTAATGGTTTTATAAGAAAGCATTTCATCTTTTCTAATTTGTTAAAAATATGTTTAACCAAGTGGCCTGGGCTCCCACCTCATCACACCCCTTTTGTTTTATTGAAGGGTAGTTCTCACAAATGAGGAATCATAAGTGCTGCCTAACATGTCTGAGTAGCAAGAGATTATTCCAGCGTTTGCATGTTAGGTGCTCCTTCCCAAATAAGTTACCAAAAAAGGAAGTGGGTTTCTTGTTGGCATGTGTTTGATACTGATTTTCAAGATCTGCCAGCATTCCCTGCTGTCAGGTAGAGGTCCTGATCTAAATGATGAACTGATTGCTGGAGCAAACCTTGCACTTTGGCTGATAGTCTTAAAAGGCAATAAAAGCAAATTAAGGGTAACAAATAGTTTTAATTTCACTATAGTCTCGGTCCTCTATTTAGCTAGTTGGTCCAAAGATCTCTTGTACCAAAAGATCTTTGTGGCTTCGAATGCAAATAGTCACTGGATTTAAGATGTAAGTATACCCTCACTGACAGCAACTAGCTGTAATGAAACATCAAATGAGGTTTGGAGAACCTAGATTCCCTAAAATTTATCATCTAACGACAACTTCTCATTTCTTCAAATGATGTGACTGTCAAGTTAATAGGAGGCTTCAATTTACAAATCGTTTAAAAAATCAAGAAGTGTGGAATTACTGCCAAAAACAGAAATTCAGTTTTTCCCCTAATCTGTTCTTCAATGTTGGTGGCTAGTAATTTTAAAATACAGTAGGTCCTCGGGTTACGTCTGAGATCCGTTCCTACGGTGTGACATAACGCGATTTTCGCCATAAGTCAGACTCACCTCCATAAGCATCTACGTCACTCACATGGAGCACAGACACAGCACTAATGAAGTGAAACAGTAAAAAAAATTTAAAAGAAAGATAACAATTCCTGACCTTTACTTGTGGTAAATAAATAAGAAACATAAAGCACATATGTACATACATCGAAATGGCGGAACTTTTTTTTTTTTTAAATAAATAAATGGGAGATGGCGACGAAACGACGTATGTCGAGTCCGATGTAACCCAAGGACTATCTGTAGTCATAACTGTACTGGACTTTTAAAACATGGTATCTTTTTTCCCCCTCCTCTGGGGTGACTTAGAGGATGTAGAGGGAGCCCACACTCTTCCAGGGCACAGGTACCACATAGCACCCAGCAGGGCCTGTGGCTTACTGAGACGTCAGCATTACAAGCTGGTTCTGGGTCATAGGAATGTGGCCATTTTATAATACAACAGTGTGTTTTTTAAGAAGGCAGTTTATTCTAGAAAGTTTAGAGCAGTGGTTCTCAACCTTCCTAATGCCGCGACCCTTTAATACAGTTCCTCATGTTGTGGTGACCCCCAACCATAAAATTATTTTCGTTGCTACTTCATAACTGTAATTTTGCTACTGTTATGAATCGTCATGTAAATATCTGATATGCAGGATGTATTTTCATTGTTACAAATTGAACATAATTAAAGCATAGTGATTAATCACAAAAACAATATGTAATTGTATATGTGTTTTCCGATGGTCTTAGGTGACCCCTGTGAAAGGGTCGTTCGACCCCCAAAGGGGTCACGACCCACAGGTTGAGAACTGCTGGTTTAGAGGCTACAGGGAAGGAGAAATGAGAAACATTTCATTCAGAGAGATCTTCATTTTTATTGGTTTTAAGTGATATATCTTTAAATGGTACAATTCACATATATTTACAGTTATGCAGTCATCACCACAGTCAACTTTAGAACATTGTCATCACCTCCCCAAAAAACCACGAAACCTTTAGCAACCCCTCCCTCTACCTGTAGGCAACAATTACTACACTTCTGTCTCTGGAGATTTGCCTGTTCTGGAGATTTCATATAAATGGGATCATACAATAGTTGGTATTTTTTTTGTCTGGCTACTTTCATTTAGCATAAATGATTTCAAGATTCATGCATATTATTGTGTATGTCAGTACTTCATTTCTTTTTATGGTTGTATCACATTTTGTTCATCAATCGATGGACAGTTGTGTTTCTACTTTTGTACTATAATGAATACTGCTGCTATGAATGAGTATTTGTGGGCCAGTTTTAAAATGTAATTTCAAGAAATATGAACAAAAGCATAATGTATGCATATTTTATAACACACTTTTCCATTTACATATCAACCTTTTAAAATACATTTTTATTGATTTCAGAGAGGAAGGGAGAGGGGGAGATAGAAACATCAGTGATGAGAAAGAATCATGGATCAGCTGCCTCCTGCATGCGCCCTACTGGGAATCGAGCCCCCAACCCGGGCATGTGCTCTGACCGGGAATTGAACCGTGATGGTTCACAGGCCAATGCTACATATCAACTTTTTTAAAAAAATTAAACCAGGATTTTTTTTTTCCAAGGCAGCATAGTATTTTTTTGTACAGAGGTAAAATATTCTGTGTAACCAGTTATATATTGTTAGATATTTAGGTTGTTTCCAGTATTTCCCTATTAAAATTACATTGATCATCCTTGAGGCTATAAATCATGATTAGTTGCTAATAATAAAATCCCAGAAATGGAAATGTTTGATTTAAAGATACCCATACTTCGGCCTGTACTAGATAGTATAACATTGTGGTCCTTAAATTTTTTGTCTCGGGACTCTTTGTGCTCAATATATGTGAAGACTTCAGTGAGTTTTTGCTTAAGTGGGTTATATCAAGATTTACTGCGTTAGAAATTAAAACTGAAAAGTTTAAATATTTATGAATTTAATTTTTAAATGACTTAAACTATAGTTAAAATGTAGTTAAAATAACATTCAACAATTATAGTATTAGATTAAATATATTTAATAAGTATATGATGAAAATTAACTATAAAATAACTATATTCTTCCCCAGAATCATGAGAATGACATTGTTTTACATTTTTGCAAATCTTTTTAATGTCTGACTTAAAAAAAGGCAGCATAATTCTCATATCTGCATCTATGTTCAATATGTCATGATTACCACATTTTGCCTCTGGATAACTCCATTGTACACAAATAAGAGAATGAAAATGGAAAAGGCAAAATAATGTATTAACCTTATTATGAAAGTAATGTTGAAGTCATTGATTCCTTGAAAGGGGTCTCGGGCCATCTGGGGTTCTTGGATCACACTTTGAGATCTGCTGCTAGAACTTATTAAAATAAAATCTCTGCCAATGAGCGAGCCCTGGCTGGGGTGGCTCGGTTGGTTGGATGTCGTCTTGTGCACCAGGAGGTTGCCAGTTTGATTCCCAGTCAGAGCACATGCCCAGGTTGCAGGGTCGATCTCCAGTAGGGAGGCGTGCAGGAGGCAGCTGATGGATGTTGCGCTCTCACGTCGATGTTTCTCTCTCTCTAAAAATCAATAAACGATTCTTTAAAAAAATATCTCTGCAAAAAAAAAAAAATCTCTGCCAATGAGAGTGTGAAATGTGAAAGCCATTTGTGTTTCAATTTGAATTGTTTGTATGCCTGGCAAATTGAGTTTTTATTTCATGCTTGACCACTTAATTTCTTCTGTGGTAAATTGCCTGTTTAGTTTTTTACTTACCTGTTATTGATTCATATAGACACTTACGTTATAGATATTAAGTCATTATTAACATGTTACTTTTAAGTAGTTCTTATTTATGTATTGATTTTTTAAAATATATTTAAATCTACCAGTAAGTCACATTCTTTTATTTTTATTTTTTATTGATTTCAGAGAGGAAGGGAGAGGGGGAGAGAGAAAAAACAATGATGAGAGAGAATCATTGATTGGCTGCCTCTTGCACACCCCCTACTGGGGATTGAGCCCGAAACCCAGGCATGTGTCCTTGACTGGAATTGAACCAGGGACTCTTCAGTCCGCAGACTGACGCTCTATTCACTGAGCCAAACCGGCTAGGACTAAGTCACATTCTTTATGAAGTTTCTGCCTTTGTCATGCTTTGGAAATTCTTTATTCCTGTATTATGCAATTATTTTATCTGCACTGATACATATTTACTTAAGCACCTACCATGTGCCTGAAGTATTTGGCATTGAGTGTGAATTGGTAAACAATGGATAAAGTTCCCTGCCCTTATTTAACTTAAACATCTTTTGTAATAACTGTTCAAAACTGATTAGTTGCTAATTATAAAAGTATTTGGCATTGAGAGCCTTCAAACTGTTTATTTTTTCTCTCTCAAAGCCTAAATAACATTGAAAGTGTGGTCCTAAGTTGGATGACTTAAAAAGCACTGTATTCTCAATCTGACAAAATTGGTAATTTCTACAGTGCTACTTGAGAAGCATACTACTTATGTTCTGTATTAAAAAAAAATTTAGTAAAAGCTTATTGTTATAAAAATTAGATTTCCCTTGGGAGTTACTGATTTCCTAGTTTGAAGCTGAAAATGAGGATAGAAGTGAAAGAGAATCAGATAATGAAAAGAAGTTAGAAAGTGTTGACCATTAAAGCAGAGACTATCTACTAGCTGTCCACAGTCCAAGTTCAGCCCATGGGTGTTTTATTTGGTATACATAGTATTTTTAAATCTGAACTAACACTTAAAGACCAACATCAAAGAAATTTTAAAAACATTAAAATCCTGGTGGCCTTGGAATTATATATATTACCTTATGGCAATAATTAATAAGAGCTAAGTCACAACTGTTGTCTCTAGCCAGAACATGCACTTTCTACTTTTACCATAGTCTCCATTACTTGTAATATTCCCCAAAATGAGACAGAACGTGAGTTGCCATTTATCATTGTCGTATACTATTGTTGTTCCTCATAGTAGAGAAATGTCTTTGTTTCTACCTGTATCATAGAGGAAAAAATTAAAGGTAGTCTTAAGAGGTTCTCTCTAAGGAAAAAAAATAAAAAATAAAAGGAGAGAGCATATTTCTTTGGATACATGAAGAAATTCCTAAGTGTTTGCTTTGGATCTTTCACTCACACACATTATTGGTCTGGACCCGTTAGGCAGGCATTTAAGTTAACAATTTCTCCCTTAAAGAGAAGAGAGCGAGGTTGGAAGGAACGGAGATTCCTGATGCTTGTTCTTTCAACTTTGACTTTAGACTGAAATTTTGTTTTGCTTTCTCTTTGTATTCTCATTTTTTCTTTTCATTTGTATTCACTTGTATTACTTCTAAATGAAAGCATATAAAGGAAATCAGAGGGGAAAAGGTGTTAGCAAGGCTGATTAGGGTTTTTAAATAGCCTTTTATGTCATTAATGTAAGTTCTTGGTTGTCATTTTCTTATAGGCTTGTAATGTCACTCTCTGTGTTTCAGACGTTATGAAGAGGATATGTACTGGAGAAGAATGGAGGAAGAACAACATCATTGGGATGATCGCCGCCGAATGCCTGATGGTGGCTATCCTCATGGTCCCCCAGGTCCGCTAGGCCTTCTCGGAGTCCGACCAGGCATGCCTCCTCAGCCACAGGGGCCGGCAGTGAGTGTCCACTTCATTTATGTGGGGTGAAAACATAGGACTTGTTCAGCATGGGAGGATAACAGTTTTGGGGAGCTAGTTCTTAGACTTAATAATCTCGTAATCACAATGTAAATTCATCTGATTTAGAATCCTCCCCCCTCCCCCCTTATTACAGGTTCTTAGCACCTGTCTTTATGTATAAGGAACTTCATAGAATTTCTGAGTCGTTTCTTTCAACGTAAGCTAAATGGGAGTAGAGCTTCTTTGCCAAATAAGAGATTGTCTTGCCTTTGTTGTTTAGATGAGATCAGCAGGAACTGATTATCTCTCCCTTACCAGTGGTTTAGAATATTTTTTCTTTCTAATCCTGACCATCTAAAACCTACTACTACTTCTGAATTGAGTGCAGGATAAGGGGCAGTACATAACTAGTTCAAGATTAGCACTACAGTTGATGAATTAGGAAAATTAGAGGAAAGATCTGAATCTCAGAGTGTGTGTTCTGTGGAATCTAGCTAAAAGAAGAGACATGGGTGGTGGGGTGAGGAACATTTCATAGAAGTGTTCAGACTACAGAAAACAAGAGGGTCTTTTTGCTTGTTTTGTTTTCTGGAGAGCACTTGGAAGAAAACAGCAAATTCCTCCTTTTTAACCTTTTTCATTTGTCTTTACACAGAATAAGCAACAGTAAAACATTTATTAAAAGCAAAAGAATTCTGAATCACTGGTTTTTAAAGTTGAGTAAAAAAGTATTGTAACTTGCCCTAGCCGGTTTGGCTCAGTGGATGGAGTGTCGGCCTGCGGACTGAAGGGTCCCAGGTTCGATTCCGGCCAAGGGCACATGCCTTGGTTGCAGGCTCGATCCCCAGTGGGGGGCGTGCAGGACGCAGCCGATCAATGATTCTCATCATTGATGTTTCTTTCTCTCTATCCCTCTCCCTTCCTCTCTAAAATCAATAAAAATATATAAAAAAAAGTATTGTAACTTGAGATGGCATGTATTATAATTTTGTTTTGAGGCCATGTATATACTTACATATTCTAGGTAGTATAACTTTCCATAGTTTGCATTTTTGTTTTTACTGAAGTAGAAAAAAGGAGAAGATAGTTTTAAATGGACATTTTGCATAATCGACTTTGTTATTGAAAAGATATGATGAAAATATGTGTATTTTAAAAATAATAATTTACTTTTGCTCAGGAAACATTTTTTAAATGAAGTAATTTTTTTTTCTGTAGCCTTTACGACGTCCTGACTCATCTGATGACCGTTATGTAATGACAAAACATGCAACCATTTACCCAACTGAAGAGGAATTACAGGCAGTTCAGAAAATTGTTTCTATCACTGAACGTGCTTTAAAACTTGTTTCAGACAGTTTGTCTGAACATGAGAAGAGCAAGAACAAGGAAGGAGATGATAAGAAAGAGGGAGGTAAAGACAGGTATGTCTTCAGAGTTATCTACTTTGTATATTTTTGCTTTTCCTTTCATGGACTTATACTTGAAATGAAAGTTATAAAGACTGAAAACTGGTGTGGATCTACATGCTTATCATGCTTGTGTTAGATGCCTGGTGTAGTCACCTCTTTTTTGCCAAAACAAGAAATACACAATTCCATACAATCTCCAGCCTTCTAAATTTACACGTTTTGTTTAAATTTATATAAAACTATTTTGAGTTTGTGTTCAAAGCTGCCTTTGTAGTTTTCTAATTGCATTCATATGCTATTAGTTTTTATTTACTTACTAGAGGCCCGGTGCATGAAATTCGTGCCCTTGGGGACGTCTCTCAGCCCAGCCTGCACCCTCTCGCAGTCCGGGAGCCCTCAGGGGATGTCTGACTGATGGGGAGAGGCCTAAGCTGGCAGTAGAACATCCTTAGTGCTGCCACGGAGGCGGGAGAGGCTCCCGCCACCGCCACTGTGCTTGCCAGCCATGAGCCCGGCTCAGGGCTTCTGGCTGAGCAGCGCTCCCCCTGTGGGAGCACACTGACCACCAGGGGGCAACTCCTGCATTGACTGTCTGCCCCCTGGTGGTCAGTGCATGTCATAGCATCCAGTTATTCTGCTGGTCTGTCGATTTGCATATTAGCCTTTTATTATATAGGATTGCGTCTGTCCTACATTGTATTTGTTTTATCAACTTTTTTCCTTAGTGCATTGACCATAAAGCCTGAATAAACCCAAGCTTTTGCAACATCTTTCAAGTTTTACATTATGATCTATTAACTTTTCATGTTCCCTTTATTTGGAAATATTTTTGTATGATATTAGAAATGACTCTTATCCTAATTTGTAAAACGTGACACAGAAGTGTTAATGTTCTTTGTTTTTCAGTTCTCCCTATGATAACTTAACTCTTCATTTATTTATATTTCTTATCTAGATGAAAGGTACTTCTACAAATATTGAATGTGTTTATACTGTAGTTGATGGAAAATTTAATAGTATAGAAAGTTATTTAATTTACTCTGTGTGGTCAAAGACTATCATGGTTCTCGTTGAGAAGAGAGACATAATATAATTTGATTTTACTGCAGAGCTTTAAAAGGAGTTTTGCGAGTGGGAGTGTTGGCAAAAGGATTACTTCTCCGAGGAGATAGAAATGTCAACCTTGTTTTGCTGTGCTCAGAGAAGCCTTCCAAGACATTATTAACCCGTATCGCAGAAAACCTGCCCAAACAGCTTGCTGTAAGTATTATGGAAATGTTCATTTTTACCCCTTGTCTGGTTCAAACGTTTTTGGCAGAACTAACTTACTGTTTCAGCTTTAAACCTAAGCCAGCCTTTAAGTTTTTGGTTTCACTTTCCACGTTGAATTTTATTCTTGGTTGTGCGAATTAGTAGGGCTATTTTCTACTTTGTCTTTTTATGTTTTATAGTGCTTGTAACTGGCATGAAGCCATCTTAGGAATTTATTTTAAAATGTAAAATTGCATGTCCTATTTGTGTTCTTTTTCTAAGATTTGAATCATCAGAGAGAAGGCAGTTGTTCAGAACAGAAAGTGATTTTTTTTTAAACAAAGGCCACGTATAGCAAGCTTAACTTTTTAAAAATCATGAACCTCTTGGCTACTTACTTGAATGCATGTTTTTAATAAAATATAATAAAGAAAATAAGCTTTCCGATTTGAATTTCCCTAGTTTATCGTAGTTATTTTAAGTTTTCTCCATATTATAACAGTAGGAATTCTTCTCCAATGTCCATTTATTAAATCATGGCAATACACAATTGACAGAATATCCCCTTTTGGCTCTACAAAAGCAATTGTTTGAATTTTTTAAGATTTATACATTAGCTTGTTAGAATCTCAGGCTGAGATTTAAAATACAGATTCCTTGAATAATTTTATGTATAAAACTTATTTTAAAACCTTGCAATTTAATTAGGCATTCTAAATCCAAGGACTGACATTTTATTGATACAGTGGGGCCTTGACTTACGAGTGTCCCGACTAACGAGTTTTTCGAGATATGAGCCGTCTCTCGGCCGATTTTTTGCTTTGAGTTGCGAGCTAAAATTCGGGTTACGAGGCAGCTTCAGATACCACACCGCTAGTTGGCGCGGCTAACGTCACAGTGAACGCCACAACATCAGCCCAGCATCACGTGTCTCACTCATTCACTTTAAGATTTGACATACGAGTAATTTGAGTTACGAGCTCCGTCACGGAATGAATTAAACTCGTAAGTCAAGGCCCCACTGTATTGTAATGAGTCAGAATAAGTAGTACCTGACCACAGCAGAGCAACTATAGCAAGGAATAATGAAGCACACGATTGAGCTTCAGCTGTTGTCTGCTTTGTATTACCCTTGTTCCAGAGATGAAATTTCTTATTGTGGATGAGTCTTTAAGTATTAGGAGCCAACAGAATTGGCAATGCCTACTTCTTACCGATACTCGGTTGAGACTGCTAGAACAATGAGGAGAGCGAAGAAGAGGTTTGAGGTCCTTGAAAGAATCATGTAAATTTGCAAGAAACATCTTGATCCTAATTGTGGTGCTTAGTAAAACCACAGAGCAGGAAATGTTATATCTTAACTAACAGTTAAATAATTAAGCGAAAAGCAGAATATTTTTTCCAAATCAATCTGTACGTATTGTACAAGTGGATAAGCAAGAGTAATAGAATTCTTCATCATCATCATAGTTAACATTTATATAGCACTTACTATGTATATACCAGGCTGGTACTGCTTTAAGTGTTTATATAGTTAATTCATTTATTCCTCTAACAATCCTATAAGAATTACTGTTCCCATATTACAGAAGCAGGTATAAGGAAATTCAAACGATTCTAGAAGAAAGGTGGAGCAATAATTTAATGTTATTTTCATTTAATGCAAGGCTCCCCAAGGGGAGTAGTATATGATCTAGTCCTTATAAAATGGTTGTGGTAGTGAGAAAATGAAAGAGCCATGATGAAACTGCTTTGTCTGATAATGTAAAAGGTCCAGCTAATTATTGTACTCTTCATTACATAGGTTATAAGTCCTGAGAAGTATGACATAAAATGTGCTGTGTCTGAAGCGGCAATCATTTTGAATTCATGTGTGGAACCCAAAATGCAAGTCACTATCACCCTAACATCTCCAATTATTCGAGAAGAGAACATGAGGGAAGGAGGTTGGAAAGCCATTAAACATTCTATTTTTCTATTAACTTTTTTTTTTCCATTTACCTACTCTTTGAGATGGCATTAAGCCCTAGAAGGCAACATGCTGGCATTACATATGAAGTTGATGGATTTGATTTAATGTAGCAGCCAGTTTTACTTAAGATCATTTTGCAGAAAGTAAATGTTCTTCTTAGTAATGTACTTTTATATAAAACACTCATGGTATTACTGATTTTCTTGATTTTTTTCTTTTCTTGCTAACCTCAGATTTCTGGAAAAAGAAGTTCAAAATTATTCTTACTGGCATAGTCGCAACACATAAAAAATTAAATGTTGCTTGTAAGGGGCCACAAATTTAACTTCTTTTAAGAAGTTCTTGTTCTTGCCTTGTCTTACAAAAAAGACAAGAGTTTCAGAAGTAAAATTGGTTAAACACTCATAAGTTATATTTTTAGAGGCATTGTTATATATGTAATCATGGATTTGGCTTGTCCTGTGGTAAAAATATTTCTAGTTCTCTGAGGTTGTTCTTTGGTTTGGAGCACTTGCATAAATGCAGAGTATCCTATTGCATGTAGACATGGGCATTTGACCCCACTATTATACTAGAGATATTGAAAAACAGATGGGGTAGGTGTAGTTAGTGAGTTCTAGTACAGTTCAGGATTTACTTTACAATTGTAGAATATGAAATCCTGCTGGTGCCAGCAATGTTGCTTTAGGGACTGTTCTGTAACATTTTCAAAGCTTCAAAAGCTTAAGCCAAAAAGCATGGTCAGTGTCTGCCATATGTTGGTTCTGTTGTTTTATGGGTCAGATAAAATTTACTTTGTTTCCTTTCATGTTGTTGTTGATTATGGAGTTAAAGTCTACACTAGTATTTCTTTGTGATATATGTATAGGAGAAAAGAATACTATATATTGAATGTTAAAATTTGTCTAAAATAGCATCAGTAGGCTCTCAATTACTGTCACTTTAAATTTGTTTTCTTACAGCAAAGCAATTTATTTAAGGCACTGGGCTTTTTACTACCCAGAAAAAGAACATTTCATTTAAAACTTCATTGGGAGACTTGTCTAATTTTGCATACTTTGTATATAGACCATATCAGGACTTGTATGTTCTATAAGCTTTGCATCTTAAAAATAAATGGATTTTGTATAAAGGATCTTTTATATGAGCATGAATTTCCACTCAAGGTCTGGCTGTGGACATTACTGGAAACAGTTCCTGAGTCAAGCTGGTCAATTCATATGCAGCCTATGACTCTGAGGGCTCGGGGGGAAAATCTTCTAATGTATTATGTTATAAATAAAGGTGCTATATTTAGGGTGAAATTATACTTGTATAGCCATTTAGCTTTATTTTAGAGCATATTTTGTTCAATTACATTTAGGCTGTTTAATTTGTGCAGTATCAAGTCATTTATGTTTCAAGAGTCTAAAGTCAAGGTATCATAGTTGTAGTAGAATGTTTAATAACCTATCCCTTTTAAAGGAAACAAAATTATATTTTTGTCTGACCCAGACTTGATTTAGAATTATTGTTCTGAATTTCATAAATATTATATTGAGAGAAATGATCAATCCAAAATTGAAAGATTTTACTTCAAGACACTGAGCTGAAAAGTTGGATGTGCAAAAGTATAGAAACATTGAGAGAGTGTTCCTTGCTGCAGATTAGTGCAGTAAACCATTTCTTTAGCTTCATTATGAAGAGTGCTTCTTTTTTGCTGCAGAATAACGGTATGTATTCTCTCTCACTGCAGCTCCCAATGCTCTGTGTCTTAAAATCATGTAAAGCCTCTAGCTTGCTTTGGGGAGTTAGTACAGGGGTTAAGGAAGGCTTTGCCGGAAGAGTGATTGTAAATCACGAGACTTGAGACTTGCGCATAGTGTGGTAGCCTCTTTAATGCGTAATGATCCCATTTAATGCCAAAAATTATTTAAAGGAAATTATTAAATTGTCCAAATAACTGTTAAACGCATGATGGATCTATTTTACAGCACAGTGTTTGACAGTTAAATATTAAGTAAAAGTTTAATTGACTTGAGGCTTGAAATGTTCAAAATGCTCTAACCCTTGCTACAGAGTGTTTTCTGCAGCAAGTCAAGTATTGTGTGTGTTTTTTTTCACCTGTAGCTTGTCAGGCCCGGTCCAAAGCCTTCTAGCAGAGGGGATTGATTCCTGTCAGGGGTTGCTGCCAAGACATCGGAAGGATTTTTGACCAAGGTTTTCAAAAGCTCAGTGTCACACCTGCCATTTGATTCAGAAGAGATTGTGGATGCAGAGCCTGGCATTTATTGTCCTCTGTGTGGCTGTTCTGTTTTGTCTTTGTGTCTTCTAGAATTGAGCAGTGTTCACACTAGTTTTTAAATGGTTGGGTGGATTATATATTTTACATAACCATGTTAATTTAAATTAATATATTCCTATTAACTTTTAATCATAAAATAGTGTGGACACAGCATGTTTTCTAACTAGTGATTAACCCCTTAAATTTTATGAAATACATTCATGTAGGGTAAGAATTTTTTAAAAAATAACCCATTTTTGTTTTGTTTTAACTGGGTATTAGGCAACAAGTATGCTTTTAGTACAGTATATCTAAGGGGTTAATCCACTTGAAGTATAAAATGGGTGCAAAAATCCACACTCTAACAGAAACTTTCTAGCTCTTAATTTGTTTTTAAATTGCAATAGGTGTCTTGGCATCTTTGAAATTGTATCAGTAATTAAAATTTTCAAAGTTTTGAATGCTTGTATCCAAAAAGAAAATTTTTCTTACATATTAGAGGAAATTATAACATTAAGAATTAACATTAGAAATTTAGAAACATTTTTAGAAAGAGATTGCACACTGTCACCTATTTGCATTCTAGCTTTAGCAAATAATGTAAGTAATTAGGGACATGGGAAGAGGGTCTTTCAGCATGTTCTGTAACCCTGCTTTGAGGAGTGGGTGGATTTGTTCTTTTTTTGGTACTTTTTTCCTTTCTTCTTTCCTTCCTTAGTTAGCCATGCTTTCCTGTGTTTCTTATCTCAGAATAGCCCATTTCTTATGTTCAATATATTTCTTGATTCAGTAGTTGGTCTTGCAGGTTTTGAGATTGTTTATTAATTTTAAAAAGTAACTACTATTTTTGTCTTGATAGTTTCTTTTGAGTACCCAGATTCCTCTTAGTGTTCATTCTTAGGATATGACACAGTGTTCTTTATCAGTAGATCTCCCTTCTAAACTGTCTTCTGAGAAATCTGTGCCATCTGATTACTTTAGGAATAAGAACTAACAATAGGCAATATAATTCTTTATCACTTAAAATACGCTTTCTTATATGTTATCTACTCAAAATACGGACAAGTATCTCTTAAGACTTCTGAATGGTCATATAAAATATGCAATCAAGTAACTTGCCCAGAGTTGCAATGGTACTCTTAAAATAAAATCATCGTTTATTTTATCACTATTGCTTTTATCACATACTTCTTTTTCTCTCATCCATTTGGTATCCTCAGTGATTTATTAGATTATATCCTAAACGCACCTTCTGGTGCTCTTTTACCAGAAGACTTAAATTCAATAGATTATTTGCCTGGTATATAATTTCCCTATAATTTAGAAAATATTTATACTGTTAAAAATCATCAAGAGTTGTGAATTTGATGGGCTTAATTGCTATTTACTTGTGAATAGTTTGATCAGCAAATTTACTGTTATATTTAAACACATTTTACAGATATGTTTAGGTGAATATAAAGCTGGCCCTCCAACTACTTTTGTGAATGTAAAGTTAACCTCTTGTCTTGGTTTAGGTTCAGATTTCCTTCTCAAGTTTTATGTAGCTCATTCATGTTTTAATATAATAATCTGATTAAAATCAATTATTATAACCTCAGGCCTTACATGCTATCATCAAAGTGCTCTGCTTAGTCCATCTCTTCTGTTTCTATACTTACTCTATTTAACCATGCTAGTTTCTCCTGCCATTTTCTCTGTTACCCATTGTTTCTCTCCAGTTATTCTTTGGAACACCTTTTGGGAACTTTGAATTTTTAAAAGGCATTTTGTATTCCTTACAACTAAAAATCTCCTTGTGGAAGAGAAAGTATTAAACTCTTAGAAGTTTAATGCCTCTTTATTTTTTTCTATGATCATTACTCGGTTGTCATTCCATATTTATCATTAATTCTTCGCTATATTAGCCCCAGAATAACCTATGACCATTTAAAATACTGAACAAACTCAGTAGTGTTTTGTACATTCTCATTTATTAAGGTGGATTTTTGTGTTCCCTCTTGTCTTGTCATCTTTGTGCTGGTGCACTGTGTCCAGTAATCCTTCCTTTTGATTTTATTTTGGTGGGTAGGGTTTATATTTGCAGAAATTATTATATTTCTAAATTAAGAGTTTAAGTCTCCGTTTGGTCGTCATGTTGGAATATGTAAATTTGTTGAAAATAATTCCCTGGGTACGTTAAAGTGCTGATAGACTCTCAAATGGCTCGTGTGACACTGATGCTACTTTAAGGAAGTGTCTTGCTCACCTGGTCAAACACCCATTCCTCACTGCATTTTGCCAATTCAATCCATTTTAGATGTAACCTCGGGTATGGTGAAAGACCCACCGGACGTCTTGGACAGGCAAAAATGCCTTGACGCTCTGGCTGCTCTACGCCACGCTAAGTGGTTCCAGGTTCGGAACATCATTTTACTTTTTTATTGTAGCCTTATGAGAGAGTAGTTCAGTACAACATGTTTAACTGTGTTTAAACATTTTGAAAGATTGCCCAAGCAACACTATTTTAAATTAAATTTCAGAAAATATGTTGACATAGAAAGCTGGGTTTGAAGATCTGCATATTGCAGTTACTATTATTTGACAATGAACTTAGGTTTTGGGGGTGTTTTGTAGTTTGGGTTATTTTATTTTTATTTTTAGTAGCTATATTTAAAGTTGACTTGTTTAGGAACATCACATGTTTGTGTATATATATTATATTCCATAAGGCTGCAGATTAACTTTGCTTTACATAATGGAATATGTGTTTAAAGCTTTCTGTATAGTTTTAAGATCCCTTCTCCCCCCTCTTTCTCTAAGTTAATACGTGTAGGGAGTGAAAGGTGAGGAAGTAGCTGTTTGGTTTAGTGACTTTGCAGTCATGCAAAGGCACAGAAGGGAAACCAAACAGATTTCTTTAACCTTTCAGTCCCTAGACAAACTTTTTAGCTCTTTACTTTTTCTTTTATTTCTAATGTAGGCAGATTTTTTTTAAGTTTATTGATTTAAGTGATTACAGGTCAAGGTTCACAGGGTATCAAGAAATATTATTCTTGTATAATCTGTTTACTTTGACCTAAAATACCAGCTTTTAAATACTAACCCTGGCATAAAATACTGCTGTAAATGGCAGCTCATTGAATCCAATTTCAAGTGTGATTATTTTTGTTTCATTTTTATCTGAGCTTCCATTGAACAGCGGTATTTTAACTTTTTTTCATCAAGGGATAATTTCCGTATTTCTAAGATTAATTCAATTGGTTTTTGTGTTGCTCTCAAGGCTAGAGCTAATGGTCTACAGTCCTGTGTGATTATCATACGTATTCTCCGGGACCTTTGTCAGCGAGTTCCAACTTGGTCTGATTTTCCAAGCTGGGTAAGTAGCATGTAACTGTATGGTGTCAAAAATGAACATTTAGGAAATACTTTTGCAGTGTTTACAGTCTCATACTTAACTTTATTTTCATTTCCTAAATATAGTTTCCTCTTCTGGTGAAAAAACCTGGAGGTCTTAGGGTTTTTAATCTTCAGTAAGAATTGAATATTTAAAAATCTATACTTAAATATTTATTTCTTTTTTGCATTTTCCTTTTTCTGCTGGTCTCACAGTGACAGTAGTTATTAATTGGCTTTTATATAACAGCAGTACAAAGACTAAAAATGAGCTGTTAATCTCCCTTTGCAGGGTTCTGTTGACATTTTTCTTTGAAATAATGGGTAAGGTTAGGAATTTTAAAAATTCAGATATATACATTATTAAGAAATCCTATAATAAAGAGCTAATATGCTAATTAGACCGGATGGCGGAATGACCTTCCAGGGTGACCTTCTGGAATGACCAGTGGGCGGGGCTGCTGCGAGGGCCGAGCCCCTTGCACAAGCGTCATGCATTGGGCCTCTAGTAATGTATGTAATGGTAGGACAGTCATGTAATGCAGAAAGGCACAAAATAGGAAGCGATTAAGGCAGGTTAAATCTTAACAGTTTGTTGTGATTTCTTCCAGGGATAAAGGACATGCATATACATCACATACATTTTTATTTTTATATATGTACAAGTATCTCTTTGATATGTGTACCTCTTTGGTTCCTGAGTAGAATAAATTGAGATAGAGAGGGAGTCATTCAAAAATATAATTGAACCCTTTGATTCCACAGTTGGATTGGATTTGTGAGTTGAATAGCCAGGGTTACCTTAAGTCAGTCTCCCCCCCGACCCCTCTCCCTCCCTCCCTCCCTCCCTCTCTCTCACAGGAGTGATCATAATATTTTCATTATTTGCAGCATGCTTACAAAATACATCTTGGAGTTTTTGAGAAGGGCACCTCATTCTCTGTGTTGACTACATGATATTCCCTTTGTATGGCCATGCCATATTTTATTTAACTGGTATCTATTTAGTGGACATTTGGGTTTGTAGTGTTTTGCTATTAAATGTTCATTTTGTCAAAGTTTTGTTAAGTACTATACACGTGATAAATTACTAGGGCTGGAATTCCAAGGTGAAAGGACATGTGCTAAAACTTCCAAAAGTGGTGGTTTCCTTCATACCCTCACTAACTGTGGGATGTTATCATACTTATCCTATCTAATAATAGACAAACATGGTAATTGACCATACCTTCACTACGCCTCCCATTGGCTAATCAGCACAATATGCAAATTAACCGCCAACAAAGATGGCGTCTAATTTGCATACTGCAGGCAGGGCGGGACAGCGTGAGTGCGAGCTGCCATCCAGTCCCCCGTGTGCGACCCCAGAAGCCGCCTGCCTGCCGCCCGTGATCGGATCTGATCCCGGGTCGCAGGCCGGCCCCAGAAGCCCCAGAAGCCACCTGATATGGCAGTAACTCTATCAGTAAGCACTCTGAAAGTCAGTGGCATAAATGCACCAATTAAAAGACAGATTATGAGGGTGAATCAAAAACAAAACCCACTTTAAATATAAAGACACATATAGATTAAAAGTAAATGAATTAAGCTGCAGCCTGTTTTGCTCAGTGGATAGAGCATTAGCCCGTGGACTGAAGGGTCCCAGGTTCGATTCCAGTCAAGGGCATGTACCTCAGTTGCTGGCTTGATCCCCAGTCCCTGTAAGAGCATGTGCAGGAGGCAACCAATCAATGTGTCTCTCCCTTTCCCTTCACTCTCTCTAAAATTCAATGGAAAAATATCCTTGGGTGAAGATTAACAAAAACAAAGTAAATGGATTAAGTAACATTAAAGAGATTATAAGAAAAATATATTCCAAATTTTGTTAGTTGTATAATGGTTATGTTTAAATTATTAACACCTAAGAAATTGGGTGAAGGGTACATATAATATGCTGTAGTATAGTTTTCTTTTACATGTATGAGATTATTTCAAATTAAAATATTAAAAAATTAAAAATTAATAAAATATTAATTGAAATGTATCTGCATTACATGAAAAATCTCCTAATTGCTTCTAGCATAATATATTAAATTGTGCTAAAATTTACAAGGGTTCAATTAAAAGATATCTTAATTCTAAATGATATAATAGAAAATATATAATAGTGTAGTTATAAGCACTTATCTGAAAATAAAAATTTAAAGAAGTGAATTTAAAGAAGGGATTAGCCAAAGAAAATATATGCACAACCCATGGACACAGACAACAGTATGATGATGGCCAGAGAGAAGTGGGGGGCAAGAGCGGGTAGAGGGGGTAAAAGGGGGGAAATAGGGACATCCTATATAAACCTGTCTAATAATAGACAAACATGGTAATTGACCATACCTGCGCTACGCTTCCCATTGGTTAATCAGCAGGATATGCAAATTAACTGCCAACAAAGATGGCGGCCGGCAGCCATGCAGCTGAAGCGAACATGAGGCTTGCTTGCTCCAGTGATGGAGGAAGCCAAGGTTCCCCGCCTGCCGCGGCCCAGCTCTGAGCTCTGGAAGCAACAATGTTTCAATTATAGAAGCTAAACAAACCCCAGATACCTGCTTTCAGCCAGCCACGGCCTCAGAGTTGGAGCCGGGCCTCAGAGCTGGAGCAGGCTCTCAGCTCCAGTGACAGCTATAGAAGGTAAATAAATCCCAGAATAAAAGAAAAAAAAAGAGGCTGAGAGCTTCAGTCGCCTGCCAGCCTGAAAACGGCCCTCAGCCCCTCACCCAGACTGGCCAGGCACCCCAGTGGGGACCCCCACCCTGAAGGGGGTGTGACCAGCTGCAAACAGCCATCAGCTCCTCACCCAGGCTGGCCAGGCACCCAAGCGGGACCCCCACCCTGATCCGGGACAACCTTCAGGGCAAACCAGCCGGCCCCCACCCGTGCACCAGGCCTCTATCCCATATAGTAAAAGGGTAATATGCAAACTGACCTTAACAGCAGAAAGACTGGGAATGACTGGTCACTATGGCATACACTGACCACTAGGGGGCAGACGCTCAATGCAGGAGCTGCCCCCTGGTGGTCAGTGCACTTCCATATGGGGATTGCCACTCAGCCAGAAGCTGGCTCATGGCTGGCCAGCGCAGAGGTGGTGGCAGGAGCCTCTCCCACCTCTGTGGCAGCACTAAGAATGTCCAACTAATGGTTTAGACCCGATCCCTTGGGGGCCTAAGCCTTTAGTCGGACATCCCCCGAGGGCTCCCTGGCTGCCAGAAGGATGTCTGACTGCAAGCTTAGGCCTGAACCCCCAGGGAGTGGGCCTGAGTCGACAGGTGGACATCCCCCAAGGGGTCCTGGACTGCAAATGGGCGCAGGCCAGGCTGAGGGGTGTCTCTCCCCAGTGCACAAATTTTTGTGCACTGGGCCTCTAGTTAACAATATAATAAGTAAAACACCGTGTTTCCTTTTCTAATGTCCATTTCTTTCAATGATTGCTGGCATTTGTAATTATTTTTCTCTTTAACTGCCATTTCCTTTGTTACTCATTTTCTTAATAATTTATATCCTTTCTTTAAGAAATTAGCTCCCATTTGTATTGGAAAATTACTTTCTCTGTCTTTTTATTTGCTTTTCAACTTCATGAAATTTTTGCTATATA